CGGGAAGATCCCGAACCGGGGAGCGGGCAGCGCGGTGCCTGACACAGCGCAGTGTTCCTGGCTCAGTTTGCCAAAATTAAGGAGCAGTTTTATCCCATTTTGTTGGTGTATCTGTGGGAAAGATCCCAAGCGGAGAGGTAAACTGTTTGCATCCCAAGGTTTGTGCTGTGATTTGGTTTTTGTTTTTTTTTTTTTTTTTTTAACACTTAATGTGGGTGTTGGAATCAGTAATTTACAAGATGTACGAATATGCCAAATCCTTGAAAAACATCTCTTGGAAAGTCACTGTTAGCTGCTCAGATTTTCGGTAGTATTTCTGTAGAACCGGTTGTAATTTAATGTTTTAAAGCATAACGGTGGTCAGTCAAGTGTGTTGCCATATTATTTGTTTCAGGTATGTGGGCACATTCAATGACGGTTCAGGATTACCAGGATCTCATAGACAGAGGATGGCGAAGGTAAATTTAAAAAGAAAATACAAAGCCACGTTTTCAGTTTTGATTCAGAATCCAGACTTAAAATTTAGGTCTATGAAAACAGTTAACTAGTTTCTGTAAGTAATTGAAGTATTTGTCCAATGCTCTGCAGCTTTTTGTGGCGTGATGCTGTTGGACAGGAAAATATTTGGTTATTTTAGAAGGATAGTATTTTAGTATAGCAGCAAAAAACTGAAGCAAGCAAGCTTGCTTCTTGACTTTTGTTACTCTTCATGTAATATTTTGATATTATGTTAACAAAAATGGATGGTCTTCCATTTATTTTGTAGTAAAAGCGACAAAAAATCAATACATATTTATTATTGTTTTCAGAAGTGGAAAGTATGTCTACAAACCTATCATGAATCAAACGTGTTGTCCTCAATACACAATAAGGTAAGAAGCTCAAAATATACGACTGGAAGTGATTTGACCGCTTCAAATGTATTCAACTATCTGTGTTTACTGCTTTAAATCCAGGATACTTGGAAAGTTTATCAACTTCTAGTGATACTTTGAACACTAAATATGTGTTGTCGAGTTTGTGCACAGGCCCGTCAGCAGCTCTGTGGTGTTTTCCTGTAAGCAATCTGTTAAGTGTGTGCCCTTGCCTTTTGCTTCTGGTTGCAATCCAAAGAAAGAGTCCTGTGATTGCTCTCTTGCTCACCAGTTGCAGGTGAACTAGTATGTGTGTATTCCACATGCACTGCTGTAGTAGCCCAAATAAGAGAGGCTGTCAGTCAAATAGGTAGGAATAATTGTAGATACGCTTTTCTGACCTTAGTAGTTAGCATCTATGCTGTATCCATAAGATGGGTAAGTGAAAAATTCTAGTCTATTAGCCTCCTAGGAAAGCTTTTTTATGCAGTGCTTGAGATCATCTTGGCATATTTTAATGATCATAGTGATACACGCACAAAACGTACCATAAGGGGTGATATTATGCAGTACAAGGCAAGGAAATTTCCTTAACTCAAAAGTGTTGATAAAATATTTGACCGCTTAAGGTAGGGAAACTTAAGAAAGAGTTAGAAAATACAGTGTAACTTTTTAAAGTGGTTCCTTAACGTTTTTTCCTGAAGTAACCTTTCACAAAAAAAAGTCAGAATTTGTTCTTTTTCAGGTGCCAGGCTTTGCGTTTTCAAGCCTCCAAATCTCACAAGAAAGTTCTGAAGAAAATGTTGAAATTTATTTCCAAAGGAGATGTTTCGAAAGTAGTGCATGGAGGTAAGAAATTCTTGGTGTTTGAAAACCAATGCTGAAGTTTGAAAGGAGAATCAAGTACCTGCTGGAGCGATGGAATACACTTTGATTTTTGTATGTAGTCTCATTTATAAAGGTCTTTATAAAGTGTGTTTTGAATCAAGGGCAAACTCTGTAGCTGACTTGCTGTATTGAATAACATGTTTCCTTATGTTTTGCATAGACCAGCTTATTTCCTTTTTTATCTTTGGGCACGTGCTTACTTTCTAGCTGGATGCTGTAGAGATTTAGACCCTGTTTTTACTTCTGTCATAAAAGTGATAATCTGGAGAGGACTAAGCAGGACAGTGAGTGGCAGAGAAAAGGAAGAGCAAACAGGAAAAGGAGGGGTTTTCTTCATCCCATTTATCCAACACCAAAACCATCTGTTCTCAGTCGTGGTGGAACTTATGTTGGTTCTGAATCGTTATAATTTGCCTCTTTTTTCCTATGTGTTGGGTTTTTTTTATCTTTGTAGGTTTTGTTTGTTTGAAGTTATGGCATGAGATTAATTGACTGTCCCATTTTAGTGGAGAAAATGAAACTGTTCTCATAAATGAGCTGGTGCTAGTAATTTGAGGTCATACAGGAAGGTTCCTCTTTTCAGACTACTGCAAACAGTCACTTTATCTGTTGGAAAACAGTTGTAAAATTGGAAATGAGTTAATTTACTGTTAATTGTGCAAAGTGTGAGCTGTGATTATACAGAGAGAAAAAACTCACGTGCTTTTTGATTGTTTACAGAAGAGCCTATGGATTCCCATGTAGAGGATGTGGTCACGTGTGATTTTGCATACAAAAGTGAATCTCATGTCAGTCCGTCCGATCTGACTCCCCTGAGTGTGGATCACACAGAGAGGGTGGAAAATGAAGACAAGGACACAGGAGAAGCAAAAGAAGAGGTGAACGAGCAGAAGGCAGAATTGGATTCTCTTCAGATATGTGCAGTTAAAGACACACCAGTCCCTGGAGGACCATCACATTCGGCTAAAATTGTTCATGCACCACCGAAGCCAGGTAGTCAAATTTCTAGTACTAACTGGAATATACTATCATGATTTCACATGTTGTTGAAGACCTTTTTATCTTGCCTAGTAATTCAAAAGTTGTTTCTTTTTATTCCCTGTACTCTTGCCACTGTAAGGAATTATAGTGCAGAAATTGAGAGGTGCTGTGTGTTACTTGTTTTCTTAGTTTTTGCTGAAAGTTGCATTGATTTTTCATTATATTTGTTTTTTTTTTAGTTTAGTTATTGAGAACATGTACCTACAGCTGATGATTTTCTGTAAGCTCTTTAGATTGCAGTCAGATAGGTCAAGGTGATTGAATCTCATCAGACATTGAGACCAGTTTCCAGTTCATGATACTTTTGTGTACTTTCCCTTTCTTCTATAAGACGTGGTGACTCAGGTTTTATGTTCCTCGAGGTCTGGTTGTGCAAGACAAGGAGCTGAACACAGCTTTGGGGAATGCTGCAGGAGTCCCAGTTACTGAGCTAGGTTAAGCCTTAACCTTGTCTCTTGTGCAGCAGCAGGAAATCAGCTTAAGACCCCACAAAAACACCCTAGGTATTGGTTTTGTATTTATTCATTTCTGCAGGTCATCTTGTTGTTACACAAATTATATTGTCTACACCCTGTGAACACGCCTCTGTGAATAACTTATTTCAGGCTGTATTTCTTATGCTTTCGTAGACTATTTGCCACAGACCTAGCTGGCGTTGGAAATACATTCAGTATATTATTGTGGGTTTTTTCTTAGACTTAAAGGAAGTTGTGTACCTTTCTGCTGATTTGAAAAAAAACCCAAACAGCCAAGCAAAAAACCAAACCCTGAAAACCCCACAAAAACAAAACTTTTGGTTCTCTATAAATACTGATATTTTCTAGTTGAGCTTTTCTATCTGTTTGGAAGCTTGCCTTGTTTTAGGTTTTTGATAACTTTAGATTAGAAAAGCATTGTCAGAAGAGAATCTGAAGTTATGAAAAACTGTAGTAATTTCTACTTTTTTTTTTCTTGCTCTGAACTTAATATTTCATTCTTTAAGGAAGTACAGTAAATATATACAAGAAGTAAGGCAATTGCCCTCATTTTACTTCCTGGTGCATTTATCTGGTACGACAGCTCTTACGTGCCAAAAACTGAAGGTAAATGCTTATCCATTTCTGGAGCTTTGTGTGAAACTACATCGAATATTGGTGGCCTTTCTATTATAATACTAATTTTAATATTGTGATCGCTTTTTTCAGTATGGAAGTTATCCGTCAGTCAAGGTTTTGCATCGTAATTGTAAATTTTTCTGAAATGCTGTGTTTGGGCTGAATTTGAACATCAAATCTTTACTCTAAAAAAGGATAATAACATTGTCAGACATCTGACTGCAATCTTTTTCGTGTGATAGCTCTTGTGGTACCCCTTGCTGTGGCATGAGAGTCTGGAGTCTACATCTGCTTGTAGTGGTGTTAAGCTTTTCACATGGCTTGTTATGACAAGCAAAGCCATATGTCACAGCTGGTGGGTGATCCTCTCCATGGTGTGATGATGCAGAGTAGTCCCTGAGGGTCCCCGAGGGGGGAAAAAAAGAAATGCTGGAAACTCCTGCAACCAGAATGTGCTTGCAGAGTGCTGCGGGTTACCTCTCCTATGTCTTCTCTTGTGTCCTGCCTGCTTTCTTGTGGGACAATGTCAATTTCTGGAAGGAAGATGTTAAGGGGTGGATGAATTATTGTCAGAATAATTCATTTGACTAACAGCCTGCACTGGAAAAGAATCGTAGAATCATAGAACAGTTTATGCTGGGAGGGACCTCAAAGATCATCTAGTTGCAACCCCCCTGCCTTGGGCAGGGACACCTTCCACTACACCAGGTTGTTCAAAGCCCCGTCCAACCTGGTCTTGAACACTTCCAGGGATGGGGCATCCACAGCTTCTCTGGGCAACCCGTTCCAGTGCCTCACCACTCTCACAGAGAAGAATTTCTTCCTTAGATCTCATCTAAATCTCCCCTCTTTCAGTTTCAATCCATTATCCCTTGTCCTATCGCTATGTGCCCTTTCAAAAAGTCCCTCTCTAGCTTTTGAAGGAGAAAAAGAAGGTAGAATTGCTGATAGGCTCTGTGTGGCCCAAAGACTGCAGATGAGGGAGCCATGTCTTACAGATCATGTTTCTAGTTTTGCATAGCATCTACAATGGCTTGTATATTTTTTTCTGAATTGTAGTTAGCCACTACATGGTGAGCAATGTCAGTTAAAATCCTCGTGAAGGCTGGATACTGTTTTCTGCATGTGTTGGGACATCTTCCTAATTCCACGCACCCAGTGCATGTTGTGCCAGTTTTTATAAGAACTTCCAAGTACTTTTTCATTCATAAAAGGTTTTTGTCTCCTACTATAGGTTGGCTAATTTCAAGTATAATAATCATTGTTTTGCCCTTAATGAACACTCATTCCAATTGGTTCAGGTTTTCCCCAGCTTAACAAGGAATTTTACATCCAACAAAAAGGAAAGTTTTCAGAAATGCTTGATTAGAAATTCAGTAGTTTTCTAGGGCATAGAAGCAATACTGTTACACGTTCCTGGAAAACTTGTCCGGAATTTTTAAGACTGCATTTTATATTTTGATTTTTATAAAATGCAGTCAAAACTTCTAATAGCCCTCATATAGTTTGCAGTTTACATAACTTGTATTTGTTGTGCAAATTTTCGAAACCCTCTTGCTTTTTAAATAATTAATGAAAATCTTCAGGTTATGTGAATTTCATTTTGGAAGCAAACTAAGTGGACATTGACAGCAGATGGCAGTCTTGGGTAAAGAGTATGAGTGTAAACCTGCCATTGTTTTGAAAAAAATGAAGTATGATCTTCAGCTATGTTAAGAATAACATTGGATAAGACTTTAAACACTGGACATGCAGATAAAGGAAGCTTGAAACGTTGTTTTACTCTGTTTCAGAAAAAGAGAGTTTATTTTTATAGAGAAGTATTCATTAATGTGCTTTGTTTCTGGATATTTTAATTGAAGTATAAAAGTGAACAATAAATGCATCAGAAAGCTTATTTAATTCATCCTTAATTGTTTCTTTTTTAGGGTATGTGGTGTCACAGGTCAAATTTAGTTTAAAATTTTCCAGATAGAAAGATGTTTAGTTTTCATCTTGGAAAATGTAGACTTAGTCCATAATAAGATTGTTTAATTGCGTTTTTATTCCTTTATAAACAAAACAGGTCATTGTCCTGTAGGAATAATGGGATGTTTCTGCACAGTTTCAGATAGAAAGGAAGGTTTGCTTATGTCTGTGTGCACATTCATTGTTTTAGAGAAGTTTTTCTTACTAACTTACAGCTTATGCGAGATAGGAGACATGAAACAGATCCCAGTACAGATGAAGTACTCATTCTTCAAATGTATCATGAGTCTTTTTAAATAAACTCTTTCTCTTACTTGTTTGCTCGTGGACAGATCACAAAATATCTGTAATTTCCTCATCATATTAGTCCTTTTCTGGTGAATAATTTTAGCAGTACGGATGAAACTAATGCTCCAAAAGCTTAGCTGAGAGGTAAGAACACTCCATCGTAAATCTGCTAGTGCATTTGTAGGACGTCTGAGGAGTGCCCAAGTGATTTTAGCTCCTCTTCTAAGTCCCTGAGATGCTCTCAACGTTTCAGCTGTCATGGAATCCACATGGAGAAACCAGACTGGGACTTTTCTGAGTGAGCCATTAATTGCTATTAATTTGCCCCAGAAGTACACTTAAAAACTGTGTAAATTCTGTATGGCATGCTTATTAAAAAGAATTGTTTACAGCCCTACTGATACTTAAAAGTTTATCCCAGTATAAAGTATTTTATGATGTATCTATTGGTAAAGGAAGATGCAGGCAGTGGCTCTGAGGGGTGCAATTCTTTGCAGGTGAAGTGACTCTAAACACATCAGTGAGCTTTCAGAATACCAGTGCTCTCACCATTTCCAGTTTGCAGAAGGGTACCACTGTTCCCATTGTCCGTGGGAAGGTTGGAAGTGGGTAGAGGACAACAAAGATGTCAGTTTTGACTATTAAGTTACTGGCAAGAAGAAGGAGGAGAGAAAGATCTAACTACGTTTTCACAGGAGTTCTGGAAAAAACAGTTTCCATGTAATTTCCGAGCCTTCAAGAGAGTAAAGTGGGATAAGCTGTAGTTAAGTGTGGGTTTGGATTCTTCCTTACTTCTTATAAATATTAGCAGAGTTGGAAATACGTCTTCGTCCTAATGCTTCAAATGAAAGCACCTCACTGTTCAGGGTTTTCCCATTTGAAAAAGTAAGTGTTTCAAAAGTTGCCAGTGTGTCTTTTGCAAATACATGGATTTCAGGAGAAAGCTAATGGCATGAAAGACTTCTTCAGCAGTTTGTCATAATATTTGTTACATTTTTGGTTCTGTGCAAGATATATGACTGTATTTCCCTTTATGGGGTTAGTTTTTTCCACTCTTCCTTTCTTTTTGAAGTTTTTGGTATTATAGCTCTTTTTTGGCCTCCAACTTGCCACTGCCCTAAAATGTAATAAAAAAAAAGCAGAATTAGAGTTGCTTTGTATTAATTAGCTGACTGCTGGTGCCCTTTGGAGTGCAACTTTCCCTCCGTATGGAGCTTGCAACAGCAGCTGCTGAGCTGAGACAGGTATTCCTTGAAAATTGATTATTTCTCCCACCACCGTTTCCAGCAGTGCAGCAAATTTGTGCAGCTCTTCCACAGCTTCTGGAGTGAGGTGTGGTGTTCAGTTACTGGTGTGTGCTACATGGAATAGCCAACAATGAGGCACAAGTTTTAAGGCAGAACTGAGGAAAATGTTTCTTGCTTTTTGTAATTTTTACAGATTTGAATTTATGGATTTACAATCAGTATTGATTAAAATCATACTGTCTAGGGCAATTGCTACTTGTAAGTAGTTTGTTTGTTTGGTAACCATCCTTTCAGTGCATTTAGTGAGTAGCATGAGGACCAGCTCTTTTTTTTCTTAATTGAAGAAAATTCTCTATTAATTTTTCTAGTACTGGCATTCTCATATCTTGACTTTCTATCTGACATTAGTGTCCTAAGTATAAAATTAATCTGGTGTCTTTGTTGGGGAATTTGGGCCACTTGAATTTTGATTTTTGCATGTCTTTGGATTTGTGTTGCTTTAAAACTAAGTTCTTGTAGTACTACATACTATTTTCCGTGCTGCTCCATTTGTGTTCTAGGTTTGACTTCACTTTTAAGTAAATAACATTTCACAAATAGAACATTATGAACAATCGATCGGTTAAAGATAGAGGTAAACTGATAAAAGCAAATTGATTAGTAAAAACATGCAATCTGACTATAACTTTAAGCAAAGATGTAAGGTTATGTGTCTTTTTACTCTTTTACATGACATTAGTGGTGTTGGTCTTATTTCTATGTACTGTATAATGATTCCAGGTGACAAAAAAGTAATGTGATGGGTTTTTTTTGAGCATATGTCTTCTGCAGGGTTGTCTTGTGCAGCCACCTGGGTTTCTAATGCAGCAGAACAGTTCTCTATGAATTTGGCTGTGAGGTTTTGTAGTTTTGGTGTTGTTTTCAGTATTTCAAGCTGATCCTGTAACTCTCTGGATATAGTACATCATCACACCATCTATTAAACAGGAGCTTTTCTTTGTTTCTGAGAGAGGGATGTGGTGTAATGATTTATGGACAGACTTTTCAGACTTTTTTTTTTTTTTACAGGCAGGAAGTCTTTTCATTTTAGTTTTGAAATATAACCTTGGCTCTGGGATGGAATCGTGGTCAAGGTGTTTCCATATTAAAGTGCTGCATTAAACAGCTGTAGAGGAAAAATCATTGCAATTTGGCTTGGCATCGGGCGTTGTTGATAGTTGTAAACGTGAAAGACCATGTTATGTTCAGACCACAGTCTGCAATTAATGGTGATTTTAACCATTTCTTTCCAGTGATTATGTAAGAACTACTTGTTTGTTGCAAAACGTGGTGTTTAATTCTTTGCCTGTGTCTTTGAAAGGTGGCTGATCTGAGCAAGCCACCATGTCGGAAAGCGAAGGACATACGGAAAGAAAGAAAACTGCAGAAACTCCTTCAGAACCAGATGTGCACATTTGAAGGCTCCCAGCTTCCAGCTGGAGATCAAGTTTTCCTCTCGCAAAACTCTAAATCTAAAACAAACCAACCTAAAACCATTGAAGACTTTGTTTTTTTCTCTTTACCTGATGATGCACCACACAAATTAGAGGTAATGTCTCGTTCACTGTTGTTAGAGGTAAATTATGGAAAAGCCTAGTTAAGGAGTTTTTAAAATGCTTAGATGTTTAGTATATGTGACTTTATGGAATGGCTATAGTTTAAATTTTGGAATATATGGGGTACTGCATGTTACATATGTGGTACAGCTGAGGTTTGTGTAACCACAAGAGGGTACTCTTGCACTGCAGTCAGCCGTAGCAGAGACCAGTACAGTTACCAAAATAAGTTGTAAATTGATTTCATACAGTGTGACTTGAAAATGAAAGACTTTGAATTAACTGCGTGTTGAATGATGAGAGAGATTCAATATTTAGTACTGCAGCATATAAATACTTAAACAATCTATGGTAGTGACTCTTAACAAGAAGGCAGTAACTGTTCATACAACTAAACAGATAAGAAGATAGCTGCTCTTTATAAATGCCATTGATATGTGTTGGTGTCTTTGGAAGCCGTAAAAGTAATGGTAGAAAACTTTGCTTAGTATACTGGTTGCCATTAAATCTATTATTAATATGGAGACAGTCATCTGGAAGACTTTTGGACTTTCTAACCCGTAAAAGTATTTTTTTCTTGTTTCTGAAAGCTGGAAAACTATCTGAATACAGGTGTTTTCCTGGAATTACTGTTATCAGTGATGGTATTGGAAGTTAAATTTTTAGTATTCTTTTGGTAATTATTCAAAGAGGTAGTGATGATGACTTAAAAGATTCACCCAGAATACTGACATGACAAGAAGCCATGAAATTGATCCAACTCCCTGACTCCTTCAGATTTTCTGACGAGTTGTGTAACAGAAGTGTGATGGCTTTGTCTGAACATCTTCATTTAGAAGATGCAGAGAGGATTAAAAGGAAGATAGTTCTAGCAGTGTTTTCCCAGATTGTCTTTGCTCCTTACAATGGCTGTCAAGCATGGTGTTTTGGTTTTGGTGTTTGTTTGTGTTTTTTTTGTAGATCAGAGCAAATGCTATTTGTGGAAATAGAACCATACTGAAAATTCAGTGGTTTTTTTTTTTGAAATGAACATGTCCTTAAATATGCTTGAAAAGAAATGCGCTGTTGTTGATGTGATAGCATTTGTTTGGTTAGGGAGTAGTCATTTTTACCAAGAATAATTTTTAATTTATAGGTTGTTTTTTTTTTATAATGATTTTTTTTGTAAGGGTGATGGTGGGGAAGACAGATATCTTCATGTTACAATTAACTCGTAGTTGAATGTGGACACATTGTTTTGTCTTCCTCTTTCAATTTGAAAAATATCAAGAAATCCTCTTGGGTTTATTGCAAAAAAAAAAAAAAAAAGGCTTTAGATAAAGAGCACAGATATAAGTCTTCCAAATGTGTGGGTATTTTTCAGTGTAGGGTCAGACTACAAGAAATTTTTAAAAATACAGAAAAACTCTTTAAAATCTCAATTTACATACCGTTTAATGGTATTATTTTCTGAAAACTGTGTAGTTCTTCTGTAGGCATTTTAGTCATCTTAATTTGCAGTCTGAAAACCTTGTATGTTATTCAGTGTAAATATAGAAGCCTTCAAATAGCCTAAATTGAGCTGAAGAATTGGAAGGCTATTGGCTAATATTAGTTAAATTGTTCGGGCCCTTGTGCAGGAATTGAAAATTGCTGTTGTGATGTTTGCGTGTGTGTAAATACGTAGTTATTGCATGATATTGTAATAATGAACGTGTTTAACTTCTTCTGAAGGTGAGAGTGGTGAGATCATCTCCACCAAGTTCACAGTTCAAAGCCACATTTCAGGAGTCTTACCAGGTCTATAAACGTTACCAGATGGTTATTCACAAGGACCCACCTGATAAACCAACTATAAATCAGGTCAGAAGGCCAAATGAGTTTTATGCAAAGCTCAGCTTCCCCCTCCATTTCATGTGTCGTGTTTCTGAGAGAAACAAATGTGGATTTTATATCCATTGTATACTCAGGAGCATGTAAAATACTGTATCAAATAAAATCAACATCCTGAAAGTGCAAGCTCTTTTGATATCTCTTTGAGTGCCACAAACGTTTGGTCTTAATTGCGGACAGAGAGGTTAAGGAAGTTGCATGAGGATGCTGTTGGAGAGGATGAGGCTTTTGGAGATGGATATTGTGAGCCTTACAAATACAAGTCTCATAAGAAGTAAAACCAGCTGGACACTTACCCTGACAGCTAGTCTCATTGGCTTTGGTTTGAATGCTTCCATAAGGAGGAACAAGCATGATCAGGGCCAACATAGAATCATAGAATGGTTAGGATTGGAAGGGACCTCAAAGATCATCTAGTAACATGTAAGTCAAGAATTTATCACACGTACAAGTTGTTGGTTTAGGGTTCACAGAAGTTCTGTAAACCTCTTGATTTTCAATTTAAGCCCTTCAAGAAGTAATTAGTGAACTCCATGTAAATTACACATCGTTACTGCTTCTTGTAATGGCCAGGCCTTGTGTAAGAGTTACCTGTCAGACATGTGACCTTTCTAACACTCTTAAGGAAAAAAATTCAGGAGTTTGGAGAAAAAACGTATGTAGCGAGAATATAGAATCATAGAATGGTTTGGGCTGGAAGGGAGCTCAAAGATCATCTAGTTCCAACCCCCCTGCCTTGGGTAGGGAAACCCTCCACTACACCAGGTTGCCCAAAAATATTTAACAATTACAAATATGTAATTGCTAAACCAGGGCAATGAGTGATGTGCCATTAAAAAGAATACATTTTAAAAGTCCTTGAGACTGTACAATAAAAGTTAAATTTGTAGTTGATTTGTTAGGTAACCTGGTCAAAAAATAGATTGAACAAACTGGTGCTTTGAAGTGTTCTAGTGTGACACAATTTTTGTTCTTTAATGAAAGTATCAACAGTCTGTTTAGTTGTCAGACCTTCCCCTGTAGGAGGATTTTCTTGTTACTATGTTTAAAGTGGAAAACTGACTTCAGAGGCTTTGAAGTGGATAGGAGGAGATCTTTCATTAGCCTTACCTTCAGAAGCACGTTATCTGGTTATATGCACTCAAAATAGTATGCTTGTATTTTCCTTGCTCTGAAGGTGAGGTTAGTACCTGTCTCCTTTGAGGACCCCCAGTTCCAATCATCCTTCAACCAGTCAGCCACTTTATTTGCCAAGTATCAGATGGCTGTACACAAGGATACTCCTTCTGACTGTGGCGAACATGAGGTACCGTTCACTGCATGCACCTTTATGAAGGCTTTTTTTTCTTTCTTTTTTTTGATGCGCAGTTAAATGGTGGGAAACGATGTCTTTTAGAATGAGTCTAAGTATCAAAATGTTGAAGTTTCTGTTTGGGAAGGAAAGCGTTGTGGTTTTTAGCAAACTTCTCTTGCCAGCTTCAGTCCAGGGGAAACTGAGCTGGAGGGATAGGGGTTGTGCACCATCATAACTAAAAAAATAATGTTAGTAATGAGTTAAGTAGAGCTGCTGCTTGTATGTGATTTGTAAAGAGGTCTGGCACTGAGATTTCCACTGGAAATGGGATAATAGTGTGGAAGTGCTTTTTTGATGGCAAAAGCATCTTCTGCTTTAAAGCTGTTTGGGAGGTTTTCCACGTCTCCTTGGTTTTTTTGTTATCTCACTTAATTTAAAAGGTGAAGGTTTTAAAGATCTGAGTTTTATTCACGTTTCATTGCTAAGCATACCTCTCAGCTAGAACTCACCCGTGCAGTAGAAATAGTGCAAAAACATTCCTGCCAGCTGATTGTCTGAGATTCAATGGGAGTACATTGCATACGAATAAATCCTGCTTTTATAATGGTGTTTACTGGATGCTAATCCTAATCTAAAAAGTAAAAAAAAAAAAAAAAAAGTAGTAGTACTTGTAGAGTTCAAATTAAACAGTAATTCTCCATTTCTCTGGCAGGTGGCACAACATCTTGATGAGCAGAGTTGGTAAAACAGCTGCCTCAGATCTGTCATTTCTGTCTATTGCAAATGTCAGACTTCAGTATTGATCAACTATCTAGTCAGATTTTCCTGTTTTTGAGAGCAATACTCGCAGAAGGGATACCTGGCAAGCTGTGGCTGCTTTCCAGGTGGAATAATAAAACCACATAATCATTTTTGGCTTTAGTTCAAAAGAGCGTAAGGAGAGCTTTTTTTGTGAGATCTCTGCAACGCTACTGTAGAAAGCCGTAAAACTTACTCCACTTTGTTTTGTAAAATCATAGGACTCGTAACAATAAGTAGTAGTCTCTGCCCTTTTTATAATTGCTGACATAAATTGAGTTAATTATAATAAGATGCAAATTGGAAACATGCCAAGAAAGATGGAGCTATTTACTGGATTTGTACCAGGCGTTACCTGGCCTGATTAGGGGCTTGATTTATTTGCTAGGATGAATGTATTTCACTTTAGATACAGCATTTATTCTGCCATGCTTTTGCTCTGGAAATCTTGCTGCTGCAGAGAGGGTGGTAAGAACTTCATGTACTTACTTATTCTTTGCTTAAAGTTATGTTTTTTTTAATATAATCATTACATCATGAAGGGTGAAGAGCAAAGCTATGATAGCTGCTTGCTGTTGAGTTCTGAAGAGCAGTTGGCTCTCGGTACATCTCATCTCTCTGGATCAGAGAGCATGGTTTGATGTAGACTTGGCTTTGATGGCCTTCATCACCCATGGAGCTTTGGTTTTTAACTGAGGAGTCTAGGGGAGGAAAGCTAAGGACGATTCCTGTTTCCACCACCTTAAGGTGTAAGGTCCATCAAGGGAATTGCTGTTGAATAGGAAGGAGATGAATTTCTGTTCATACTGTTAATGATTTAATGGATTTGTATCCTCCTCTTTTTCCTTATTACTTGCCATAAGTGTTTCCTGATTTTGCCTTTATCTTCTCTCTCTCGCATTGTGTTTGTTCAGGCTTAGTGTAATATTCCAGAGGAGACATAGGGTCTTCTCTGAAGCTTCTAGTAAATGTGGAAACTCAGTCTGATGCTGATGGCTTTTTAATTTAGCACTAGTGAAGTATCTTGTG